ATCATGATGCATTTATCTTTTTAATGTCTTCAGGTATGTGAGTTAAGACGTAGACTAACAGTTTTAAATCCAAGAAAAATGATTAATCACACTTTTTGGGGGAGAGGCGTGAGGGATCATGCAGCTTGTGTGTTCTTGCCCAGCATCTCCTGCAGCACCGACTTATAAATTGTTCTTTACGAAATTACCGTTCTAAAAAGAATATTTCCCAGTCGGTGGGGACTTGATGACGTTGGCATCATTTGTACGTGGAGGTTTGTTCAAAAGCTGTTGTTATAACAGCATTTCTTGTGAGGAAGGCGGCAGGAAAAGCGACACATACACACACACATTAATCATGCAGCTTGTGTGTTCTTGCCCAGCATCTCCTGCAGCACCGACTTATAAATTGTTCTTTACGAAATTACCGTTCTTAAAAGAATATTTCCCAGTCGGTGGGGACTTGATGACGTTGGCATCATTCGTACGTGGAGGTTTGTTCAAAAGCTGTTGTTATAACAGCATTTCTTGTGAGGAAGGCGGCAGGAAAAGCGATGCAAGCCACAAAGCTGAGGAGCATTCCTCAAGTTTCAGTGCGAAACTGTGGTGGCCTTACATTCCACGCCAGTGACTTCATTTGTCACGACGGTCTGGATGGTGGGAGAGGCAGCGGATTTTCTCATGAATCAAGACCATCACACTTGAGGACTTTTGACCCAGTATCCCACTCCCCCCCCCTAAAAACTTCTTCCTCTGGAAAGAATGTGCCCCCCCCACTTCCCCATCTTGTCCTCCCCCGGAGACTGTGAGAAGGCACTGCCTCAAACATGATCTGTTCAGGAATCTCATTTCAACATGGGCGCACTTCAATGCTTGGCATCCAATGCACATCACATTCGATGTTGTCTAATAACTGGATGTACGATATGTATCATCTACTTTTGACTTTTTCTCATCAATAGTTTAAGGCCTCAAAGTGTTTTTCATAGAAATAGTCCTATTTACTGACTTACTGTAATTTGGACTTCACTACTGCGTTGGTGAAAGTTAACGGTGTGTTCCGATCTGCATACAAATTTGGGTTACGTGATGAAAATTGTACAGAAATGTAGCACAATGTTCATCACATACGCGGTTGGCTAATAACTTGTTTTTATTGTTGACAGTTTTTTTTTTCAAATATCAACACAGGGGAGAGACCATTCATTTGTTTATTGAAACAGGAAATCAAGAATAACTAACAGCTTGCATGGAAAATACACTTGTAATCCACACGCGACACTATAAAAGGCATTGTTTGTTGGTTTATTTTGCTGAAATGAAAAATCGATTTTGTCCCAGTATTGTATTTCCCTAAATAGTGGCCAATCATCTAAGACACCTCCAACATGAATGACTGACTGAAAAAGACGCCTCCCGTCTCGCATTAAAAAAACGAGTAGTCACCGCAGTCAGCTCAGTTCATAAATGTTACCGTTTATATCAAGAATCAACAAAATGTTCAGTTCACAACTGCCGATAGGTCCCAAGCCAACCACCACCCCGCTACCCCACTAAAAATCTGTGATTAGGTGGGAGAACACTATTCCAGGTTACATCAGGAAGCACCAAGGCAGATTGAATCAAATAAAAGAAACCACAGCATCAGTACACGGCCACTACCGTTCCCAAGCCCAGATATTGTAAAAACAAAAGGAAAAAAAGGCTTTTGGCTTGGCTGAAGATGAATCTTTTCATCACATCAAAAATATGAATATGTAATGGATAACTACTTGTCAATAAGTCTGCAACCTCGGGAGACTAACAGACTCGCAATATTGGTTTGTATAATTCCAAAAATGGGTTTATACAATGTCCTCACTCCTATTAAGTAAATAAAAGCTCCCAGCCACTATTTGTGGAAGTACAGTATGCAGTTCACTCAAAACCTCCATATGCTATGTCAGTTGCCACACTTCCTTGTTGCAAAAATGTCGACAAAGTAACGCAAGAAAAAAGCTGTTCACCTTTCATTGTGACAAACCCAAGGACATCGGTGTCCGTGTTTCCTTGAGGATTCTCGTCGAGGGACTACGCATCTTCTGATCCACCGACCGGCTCGGCAGACACACCCACGTCTAAGGGGGTGTCGTCAATGAGGTCCGGATCGTTTCCCGTCAGCGACAACTCCTTCAGGCCTTTACTGAGGCTTTCCTCCTGCTCTAAATTCCCATCAGTCCCTGCCTCCAAATTCCCAGCATCCTCTGACTTCAACGCAGTATCTGGATCGAGAGCGGAGCTCACGGCCGCCTCTGTGTCATCTGGAGATCCCTCAGCTGCCGCAACATCTGCAACCTTGTCTTCCAGGATGGGTGTTTGAGGGGTGACTGTGGGTTGTGGGGAGGAGAAATCTGTGTTTACGTCAAGGGAAGGAGATGAAGATTGATCCTTCTCTTGACCCGGGCCTGCTTCACAATCCACCTCCACACGTGCCTCTGACATTGGTGCAGGAGCGGACACACACTCTTCATTGGGCAGACATGGCGTCTGAGTGGCTTCTTGCCCAATCACCACGTCCACCTCCTCTGCTGGCACAGTTTGCTGAGCCGGCGTCACATTAGAAGCGCCCAACTCCGTTGTCTTTTGATCCTCGACTGGTTCCTGCCCTGAGCCTGCTGCGCTGACTGGAAACTCGCGCTTGCGGATGATCTTGTTTCCCATGGTGAACCTGTCATCAGGAGATATGTCGTCGTCATGTTAAATGCATCCGGATGAGCTAATACGATCAATGTTGACTCTTTTGAGCCCAGAAATATAGGAATACAGTGAACAGGTCTACACACCTGTTAAATGCCAGGTTCTCGTTAAAAAAATTAATGAATTAAAAAATGGTCAGCGATAAATCATTTCAAAACTTTTTCCACCATTAATGTGAATCTATAACTGCTTCAAACAACAAAGTGTATGCAGAAAAAATGGTTAATATTGCACGACTGACTGCGTCTTATGTATTGTGTTGTATTATTTTGTTATTTTATGTTAACTGTTCTTTTGATGGAGGCGCGGTCACCCACGGCGGCTCCTCTCTCTCCTGTGGTCGAGAGGAAAGATATTTCATCTGTGCTGCATGTTGCGCATAGAACACATTTGACAGTAAAGTTGACTTGAACTTAAATGGACCAATCACATCAGTCATTTTAAAACATCATGCACACGCCACCTTTTTAAATGCTTCCAATTCATGCCAAATTACGTTCAGACCGTAGGGTTTCCCTGTCATCTTTGTAGTCAGATCTCACAGCACAAGCCGTGCCTGCAGAGCTTCCTCAGCATCAGAGGAATCTCGTTCAATTTAACCGGTTTCTACAGTGGACAGATTATCAAATTATCAGGTTACAGGGTATCATTACTGATGCATGGAAGGGTTAATCAGTCATGAGAAGGGTGCAAAAGAATCTCCAAGGCATTCAATATCCCACGGAAGATGGTGAAGGTGGTCATCATCAAGTGGAAAAAAATGACATTACCAAGAACTAAATCATTCTTCCAAAAAAAAAAAAAAAGAAAGAAACCTATTATCAATGTATATTGTTGTTCAAAAAGCATACGAACTATAATGCACTTTTTACTGACCTCTCAAATAAAACTATTCTAGAGCTCGGCTTTTAGTCAAAGCCAAATTGAGAGCACATTGGTCCACTTAAGAGTTGTTCCCTCAGAATTTTTGGTGGAAGTCAGGAGGTATAAATACTGTGTAATGAAGTAGATTTTTGTAGAGAAGAAATCAACTGCACATGAGCTCTTGATTGATTGTGATCTTGGGAACATTTAAATATTGAAACAAAAAAAATGGGACAGCAGTGATACGGGGTAAACCTGAGCCACGGAGTATTTACAACTACGGCAACAAATTTGGAGAAGCTACATATTACCCATCCAGGGATTTATTCACGAAAATTGCTTTAAGTAGCTCCCAGAATGATTTCTGGTGAATAATATTAATACAATTAAGTGAATATGTTTTTGGCTTTCAAGAAAATCTCAGTAAAAATAACCTAACAAACAAAAAAACCCCATTCTGGTAAAGTCGGTTTCAGTTCATTATCATGAGCAAATGGTTATTTTTGTTAGTCAGTTCACAACATTAGCTAGGGAAACATATTTTGATAGCATAAAAGTTAAGCCAACGCTAGCTTGTTACAAAACAGGAACCGACAACTTCTAAAGAGTATTATAAAGACCTGCCCCTTTATGGCCAAGAGCGCATGATAGTAAATGTGCCAGGTTCCTTGTTAGCCGTTGATCATCGGGTAGTTTAATGGAAATGTTGCCTTTGGTCCAAAAATGAATAATTATGGGAAATATCTTCAGACTATGGTGATTTTGATCGTAAGAGAGGCTAAATATTGAAATTCAGTCCTATTAATCTGCATTTGAGTATCCTGCATGCATGCAATATTTCATGATTAATACTATACAAATGATCAATACAGTTAAAACATAATCATCCCTCATCAGGACCTGTTTCTCTCACCTGAGTCTCACATACTCCAAACTACCAATTGACCAACAACCACACCTTTAGTGTCACACATTAATATCATACATCTGCGTGAAAAATATAAACGACAGTGTAACACATCTTAGTGTAATACATCTCCATTAAAACTATAAATGACAACAATTTTAAGAAAGGCATTAGTTCTCGGACACAATTAGTCCTGCGCACTGCCCCGCCCCCCTCTTCAAACTTTACCAAAAACAAAAAAAACCAAAAAAATTACTCCACATATTAAAAGCTCATACTAATCCACTCCGATGGAGTTGTAACGACATTAAGAGTTTAGAGACGTATAAACCACCCGTGTAACCCACCTCGATGGACGCTGGCTGGCCGACGGCGGATGAATGCACCAACACTTGCGTTCTTTCTGGTCGCGGGCACGCGCCCCGTGTCCTCAAAGTCTGGTCTCGGGAGCGCGCCTGCCTCTTCTTCTCAGGTTAACGCGCGCGCTCTCGCGGTGCTGTTGAAGTTCCGTCGAAAGCTGTATATTTACACAAGTTTCAAAGCTTTCTGGTAAATATTTAATATTGATAAAAGCCGTCACGCGCATGTCATTCAAGTGCACTCAGAAAGAAGTAAACAGCGATTAGCCGGCTGCTGATTGGCTAATTTACTGCAGCGACCTCACCGACTGAGAGAGATGATTTAGATTTCGGAGACGAAATACAGTACTGCTATTACTACTACTTCTTCTACTACTACTACTGCTAATAATAATAATAATTAAGAAAAGATCCGCTGGGGACGGTACGAATTTTACTCACCACAAAAAAAAAAGGGAGATAGGCGCCTGGATAGTTACTGATGTGCGAAACTGAGTATGTTGGTATCGATCCTATAGCAAGCAAACAGTATTACAGTAATAGTATAAATGGACTACACATACACTTTTCGATAATTAAATTAGATGCGTCATCAAATGTTTCTGAATCTTAATTAATCTTCATGTCCTTCAAATGGTTTATTATGTTTCCTGTGTTTGTTATAACTAAAGGACAAAATGCAAAGTGTAATGGTAAACAGAAAATACAGTACTCCACAACAAATATAAAACAATTAAGAAACAATTGTTTTTCAAAAACAATGTGTGTTCAGTGATGCAACCACAAGTTAACAGACTACGTGTGTATGTGTGTGTGTGTGTACTGTCAGGTGAAAAAGATTTCTCGTACAAGGCGCATGGCATCATCACCGCCTTGCTTTTCAGTCAGATGCTGCTTCTCTGTCTTCTCCGTCTGCAATCTCATGTCCTCCTTCTCCTCATAGGTGCTCCCAGCGTAAGGCACAGTCTCCATGTCAGTAACATCCAAGTCTGTTTCTGAGACGTAAGTCTCTACACACGCCGCCTCCCCCTCCTCTGGAGTCTCCAGCTTCCCTGCCTTTTTTATTGTGGAGAAACTTTTTCCAGCAGCATACTCTAGCTTGGATTGAACCTGTCGTGGAAGGAAAGGTATTCTTTTGCAATTTATTGTCATAGGCTGCCTTTGCCCAGTTCATAATGCTCAAATATTGGACCTGGTGGGGTACATATTGGGCTGGTACAGACATAAAGACACTCAGATTGTTTTTGAACCAATTTAGATGATTTGTTTAAACGTGGCTTCCCCAAAAATGTGTCCTTGAAATGTATTTATTCTTGCATCTTATCAAACAATGGGTAATTTATAACAAATCATACAAAAACTATGACAAAAACAGTTTTTCACTCACACAGTTTAGTTTATTCAATTATCGTATTTATCAATGAAATGATTAGAATTAAACAAAATCACAATATTTTTTTTTCTTTTATTCATTCATCTGATTGAGTACATTGGCAAATCAAATTATTCAGAATAATAAAGGTATTCCTAAAATGGACACTTTTTTACATGCTTTTAAAATTCAATCGTAAAATTATTAAATAATCTGATGATCAAATGTCCATTCCGTGCCATTCGCTGTTTATCCTGTGCAAGGAGCGTATGTGTTTAATCATTTAGAATTAAATTAACTGTAAACACAACAATTAAAATGAGACTGGATTATTTTACTAAGAAGAACAACTTTTTTTAAAAACCTCATCTCCGAATACAAATTTTTTTAATTCAGTGTGGCCCCTTGAGTATAAAAAAAAACAAAAACCTTGCCCACGTGTTGACGTTTTGTCTAAACAAACAAAAAAAAAAAAAAAAGAGGAAATGGCGTCACCTGCTGGCCGGATAAGGCGGATACATGCTGGTAGCCAAGATATGCCCCTGCCGCTTCTAGCAACTCTTTCTCGTTCATGCAGTAAACAACAGCCCTAGAAAATGACGAACATAAACAATGAAAGAAAAAAAATGACAGGACTTTGATGCATGCTCAATTTTGACTCGCTGACGTGAGCTACCGCGTGGCTTTCTTTTTCCTTGTGGTATTCAGGGGCTGCTTTTTCCTCCCCTCGTCCTTCTTTTTAGACATCCACAACGGCAAAGCGCGGCGTCGCTCACACATCTTGTTGTCGTCGTCCGCTTTTGTTATTTTTGCGGAAGCATTTGCTCTTTTAGGGCTTAGTTTTCTTATGTTTACATGCCCAACGGTTAAGGTGGTAGGGGAAAAAAAACGCCTCGCGACAAAGGAAATGACGCATTACGTGGAAGTTTCCGTAAACGTCATTTCCATGTATGAGCGGCAGCCATATTAGGGCAGTCATTGTAGCCCCGTTAAACCGTAAAAGTCACACTATAGCTGTAGATATTTATAAGTGTGGGAGCTTGACCAATATGCGCTTGTGATAATACAACACCTATTTAACACAATAAATATAAAGTGAAATCGAAAATATTTGGCTTTTTTGGGCGGGAGGGGTTGAAATGGGAATGTTTCAAAGCACTTTATGCTGACAGGGATTCATAAACAGCCTATGTAAAATTTTGTCTCCCTTCATGACACAAATCTGTATCCAACTGTGACTTTTTGCTCCAAAGCTCTCAGTCAGTCTGTCAGGCCTTTTAATTACGCCGCTAAAGCCTCTTGCGACAAGTGCTTAGGCCTTGATTGCAAAGAGCAGCTTTGCATATTGGACTAAATTAAAGAGTGAAGAAGGAAAAAAAGGAGTGACCCACTAGGTCCTTTTCATTTTAAAACGCTTCATGCCAGAGCTGAAATATTGAATTATTTATTTTGTAACTGGACATCTGTCAAAGCACTTCACCACTGACCTAAATATTCCCACCACTAAATTTTTTTGGGCACCAAACACCAGTAAACGGATGACATTTTCTACATATTTCTACTTGGAATAAACACCAGCATACTGTCCTCATCTAAACAATTAGTTTAAATGAAATACAAAAATGAAAATTTGAAAGAAGCACGAAGCAAAGTGCTGTAAGTCTGTTCATCCTTCTCCAGGCTTGATGCCACATGCGCAGATCAGGCTGGACTAAGAAGATTTCATTTTTTTCGCACAAGGAAAAAGCTTGTTGTTGCTCCCCAGCCCAAAATTTGTGGGTCAAACATGATGGGGAAAAAGATCATCTAAATCTAGTGACATGACATCATGATTCCTTGCTGTCAAACTGATCATTGCAGTTTTTTTTTTTTTTTAAACACAAAAAGTATATGTTGATGCTGGAGCACATTCAGGGGACATGTTAAGGAAAAAAGTGTTTCTTGGAAAAATTATCTTTTCCAGTAATACTGAACTATAGTTATAATTGCTATTGTACCTGTGTTTTGAAAATAAAGCGGGGCCGTCTGTGGCTTCGAAATTTCCAGGAGCAGCCAGTGAGTGGGGCAATCAATCATTGTCAATATCCTCAAAATATCCACACTCTCTTTTATCATTGTTTCTTTTCCAATCGTGCCATGTTTTTGTGGCTTAATAAAAGTTATACAGTCCAGTGTATTGTATGTTGAGCCTCAAAACACAATTCAAGGTTGCAGTTTTTCCTGTTGCAGCGAGAAGATCAATGTCCGATGCTCAATCACATGGTGTGCGCCGTGCGGCAAGATTTGTCAACTGTAATTTTTTCAAAATGGTCCATTTTAGTCCGTAATCAGCTGCATTGCTCACTGCATGGCGGGCTTAAGGGCTAGTGGTGCAGCCTGAGTTTTTGCTGTCTGGAAATTTGACTTCATTGTAAAAAGGACGAAAGGTTGTAAACAAATAGTTGGGTCTCTGGAAATCCCGCCCACCTCAAGTCTTCAATTACACAACCAAGTAAGTCATTTGTGATCTGCCTATTTCCCCGAATCTGTCTTTAAACAAGCTGTTATGAATTTCATGACTTGTGATGTCACAGTGGGGCTAATTAACATAATCCGCCCAGGCACAGACATGTTTTGGCAGCGAGGCTGCGGTAAAATTTTGTTATTTTGAGGGAGCAGTATGACATGGGGAAAAAAAGATGTCAGAGTCAAAGGTTAAGCAGAGCTGCAGTGTTAGCAGATTAGCATTGGATAACATGATCAGCAAAGAAAACAGTGTGCAGTAATTTCAATTTAAAATAAGAATGTATTTATTTTCATCACATTACATTGTATTTTATTATGTTTTCATACAATACAGTGCTATTTTTGTTCATTAGAAATGACAAGAATTTTTTTGAGAAATGCTGGAATGGATTCCTGGTGTTTTGGTGGAGAAAACAGAATTGTGATGCAAGAACATTTGGATAAAAGGTTGGTCACAGAGCTGTATGTTTGAAAGGCATTGTTGAATGACCTGAGTTGAACTGGACAACCTACAGGTGAAAAGGTCAAACAAAAGAGTCACTTTCCGGCAGCTTCCTCCTAACTGGGGGCAAGCACACTAATCTTTCCGCTCGTCTTCTGGGGCTTAACTCCAGTTTTGATTACGGTTCTCCGCCATTGGCATCTGGCCCACAAACGCTGGTGATTGGCCATATGGCACCCGGCTCACAGATTTAGAAAGTTTGGCGTGCTTTAAATTAAACGGGGTGTCTCTGTTGGTGATTGAAGTCCTTAAGGGCGAGCGATTTGATGATTTGCGAAACACAACAGTGAAAACCACCAAATGAAAGTCTGATGAAAAAAAAGAAGTGATCCACTTGGCTTTAAATTTTTTATGCGCATGTAAATGGTCGTGACATTGACCTTGTCTTGTCCATAAGAAACACAAGTGATTGCAAAGTAGATGTTTTCTGTTGATCCTTCCCCCCAAAAAAAACAGCCTGTAAAGCTAAAATGATTTGTTTGTGATCAGTGGTTATTGCAGTCAGAGAGATTAAGAATGCAGTTTGGCAGCGTTCCATGTCAAAATCTATGCAAGATTGTATGTGTTTACCCTTGGAGAGTCCCAGGACGAGTCAAGCTGACTCTTATGTGAACACTGATGGGTTTTATCAAGAAATAAAAATGCAAGTAAACATCCAGTGAAGGAATATTTGACAACAAAGCAAGATTGTGGGCACACTCAAAAGTAAACACCATACAAATCATGAATAAATAAACAAAGAGTTTTATGAGGGTTTTTTTTTTTGTTGCAAGAATAAAGTCCAAATATTATGAAAAATGAATTTTACACGGATAAAGTCAACAACAAACATTTCTTTTATTTTCCTAACTTTTTGCCTTCATTCTTACAACACGACAACTTTGTTTCCTCTTCACATTATGACTTTCTTCTTTTAAAACCGCAACTTCTGTTGTCTTACAAAGCACAGCCTTTCTCAGCCTTTCTCATTATGACGTTATTTTTATCATAATACAATTTTAATTTTAAACTTGAACTATAACTTTTGTCTCAAAAGTATTGCTTTTTCGAGTACAACTTTCTTCTCATATTATAACTACATTGTAAAATCACATTATTTTTTTTCAAACATAAAACTTTTCTCTGTGAATTTTTTTCTTTCATAATATAACGATATTGTTCTGTAACTTTTTGACATAATTCTGCTTTTTCCTCTCCCCTCCTTGATACTCCTTTACAAAACACCTGCAGCTGTGTCGCAATCAGACATTAAATGTAATCAGAATAATAAAAGCAAGTCAAAGTGCAAAGATGTATTGGGTGTGTGGAAGAACGTCTTCAGGAGCAAGAGAGCAAAGCAGCTGATGTTGGTGGCGTGCGAATGACTTTACCCTCACAAGCCGATTGGGCAGTCCGTTGTGTTGCAGCGCAGCAGCGAAGCGGACTGGAGGATTCGGTCATGGCCAGTTGACGTCACTGTGCTCAGGCAGAGTTGAAAAAGTTTGACCTTGACGCTTACATTAACAACCACCTCAATCCATATCTCAACCGCGGTTAACAGACTCTATGTAATCTCCTGCCATTGACATCGAATTTATGTAGTGTTGTCATCCCTGGAGTTTGAAAAAAAAAAAAAGTAAGAAACCTAGTTTGACAAATTAAGGAGTTTGAAAGTATAGTTTCCAAATGGAGGAAATGAAAGTAAAAAGTTGCCCAAAAAATACATACTCACGTTAAATGCAGATTCCGCAAAGCGGCCCATTTAACGTTTACCCTAGAAAAGTGGCTAATTTTATCTGGCCACAAGTCTTTGACAGCTCCCAGCCAGATTCGACGCCATCCTACTGATCAACCACAAACATTTTATCCATCCTATTTCTTCACCTCATCGAAGCCAGTCGCAAAAGCTACTCCATCAAGTGAGTTCACATTGCATTATAAGAATAATGCTGTAAGAATTGGGGAAGGATACATTCATGTTAACGAACCTGCGGGCCATCACCTACCTGCGACTTGGTTCTAGTCTTCCCTTGTCCGGCAAGACCTCACTTTGCAGCAGCCCACGATAGGGCGAGCAGGAAGTGCACTTTCTCATCGACCCATCGGTTGTGAGATGCCGATTTTTGAATATATTAAAGCATGTGTACATTGTTTGGGCGGCCCGGTGGGCCAGTGGTTAGCGCATCAACCTCACAGTGCAGAGGTACCGGGTTCGATTCCAGCTGCGGCCTTCCTGTGTGGAGTTTGCATGTTCTCCCTGTGCTTGAGTGGGTTTTCTCCGGGTACTCCGGTTTCCTCCCACATTCTCAAAACATGCGTGGCAGGCTGATTGAACACTCAAAATTATCCCTAGGTGTGAGTGTGAGTCCGGATGGTTGTTCATCTCTGTGTGCCCTGCGACTGGCTGGCAACCGCTTCAGGGTGTCCCCCGCCTACTGCCCGAAGACAGCTGGGATGGGCTCCAGCACGCCCCGTGACCCTTGTGAGGATAAAGCGGTTCAGAAAATGGATGGATGGTTGTATATTGTTGCACCCATGTTTTGCTGGTGAAAGTTGACTGCAACAAATTTTGCTGATGACCAAGCAATCAAGGAATGAAAAAAATGCTCATGTCATTCGGGGCTAGAGCTCTAGGCCTGCGAGAATGAATTTCGATTAGTTCAAGAAATCGAATTTAATTGAAGTTACATGGGCTAGCGCTACTGAATCTAAAGGCAATAGGCAGGTTGTGTGATTTGGTGAGCAGGAACCCGACCCTTCTCACCTTGATTTTGTCACCTTATATATACGCTTTGTCACAACAGTACTGCGTTCGTATTCCTCACACTTACCCGCTGTTGCGTTGGCTCACACAGGGGGCTTCAAACAACCGCACCACATTTCCGGCAACCACACAGGAAGAGAGACCGCAGCAGGAGGAAGGAGGATTTTGTCTCACTTTTAATCCCTTAGTTCATCAACGTCTGCTTTCTAGGCACCTGATTACATCACACCCAGCAGGCAAGACCCCACGGGGGTTGCCGCGGTGACGGTACTTGTCCTTAATGCCTCTTGGCTTACTCTTCTTTTGAACTTCATCTGCGTTTCACTAATGTCAAGAGTGGATCGCTCACGGTGGCAGTCGTAGTGTCACAGCTGGTGTTCATAGAAACCCTCTACAAGTCCCACAGACTTTGTTGTCTTGTCTCAAATGTCACCCAGCTTATATTGAGTTGGTTTGAAATACAATTTTGGTACATCTCAATGTGAGGTATAACAGACTTTTTCACAATGTTCACAAATAGCCCTGGATGTGAAAAACTGGACTCACTCTCTACCACCAGGAATTACCCTGGTGCCTCTTGTTGACAAACATGATCAAAAGGTCTTATAAATGGAGGCGTAATGCCTAAATAAAGTATTGGTTTGGTTGTACTTGCGTGATGATATCTCTCTCTTGGTTTAAACCCCTCTTGTAGCATCCTCTGGCTGGCAACCGCTTCAGGGTGTCCCCCGCCTACTGCCCGAAGACAGCTGGGATGGGCTCCAGCACGCCCCGTGACCCTTGTGAGGATAAAGCGGTTCAGAAAATGGATGGATGGTTGTATATTGTTGCACCCATGTTTTGCTGGTGAAAGTTGACTGCAACAAATTTTGCTGATGACCAAGCAATCAAGGAATGAAAAAAATGCTCATGTCATTCGGGGCTAGAGCTCTAGGCCTGCAAGAATGAATTTCGATTAGTTCAAGAAATCGAATTTAATTGAAGTTACATGGGCTAGCGCTACTGAATCTAAAGGCAATAGGCAGGTTGTGTGATTTGGTGAGCAGGAACCCGACCCTTCTCACCTTGATTTTGTCACCTTATATATACGCTTTGTCACAACAGTACTGCGTTCGTATTCCTCACACTTACCCGCTGTTGCGTTGGCTCACACAGGGGGCTTCAAACAACCGCACCACATTTCCGGCAACCACACAGGAAGAGAGACCGCAGCAGGAGGAAGGAGGATTTTGTCTCACTTTTAATCCCTTAGTTCATCAACGTCTGCTTTCTAGGCACCTGATTACATCACACCCAGCAGGCAAGACCCCACGGGGGTTGCCGCGGTGACGGTACTTGTCCTTAATGCCTCTTGGCTTACTCTTCTTTTGAACTTCATCTGCGTTTCACTAATGTCAAGAGTGGATCGCTCACGGTGGCAGTCGCAGTGTCACAGCTGGTGTTCATAGAAACCCTCTACAAGTCCCACAGACTTTGTTGTCTTGTCTCAAATGTCACCCAGCTTATATTGAGTTGGTTTGAAATACAATTTTGGTACATCTCAATGTGAGGTATAACAGACTTTTTCACAATGTTCACAAATAGCCCTGGATGTGAAAAACTGGACTCACTCTCTACCACCAGGAATTACCCTGGTGCCTCTTGTTGACAAACATGATCAAAAGGTCTTATAAATGGAGGCGTAATGCCTAAATAAAGTATTGGTTTGGTTGTACTTGCGTGATGATATCTCTCTCTTGGTTTAAACCCCTCTTGTAGCATCCTCCTCCTCCTTCTCTCCTCCTCCTTCTTGTCATCCTCTTGCTCTTCATCACATCACTAGTGTACTGATTCAATATCTTTACTCGTGTGATGTGCGAGTATCAGTTTCCTCCCCCCAGCAGGGCACACATCTGCTGGCGTCGGGGAATGTTAGGAGGAAAACGAGTCTTCATCTTCATCGGTCACGTATCAATGACATTGGTGTAGACATGTGGATTGTCGCTCGGGTTTTCAGATAAAAGCCATCAACACTCCCAGCTGAGAAGATGAATGTAGGTGAGTAAGACATTCATTACTTTTATTTTCTTTTTGGTTCAATCGGAATTGAGCAGTTGCTAGTGAAGTGAGTAGCACCTTTGATCTTTACATCAAGAGGTTGTTGGTCTTGAGCTCAGCAGCAATGTGTAACAGCACTTGCCTTTTTTTTTGTACAGACAAAAAAAGATTCATTGAAAATGTTCTTTTTGGGCGGCTTTTTGGTCACATGTTAAAAAAGTAAAGAGGATGTTAATTTCATGTTTGTGTGGTTGGTTGTGCAGTATACAGCTCTGAATACAATTATGAGACTACTGCAAGTTTAAACAAAACAAAAAGAAAATCAATTAGGAGAAATGCAGCTCGAACCAAAAACAATGTGGCCCGTGCCCAGAACCATAATCCGGTTTGTTCCGGAGGCTCATTTGATTTGACTTCACATTTGATTAGCTCTTAGATCTGTGATGTGGAAACGCTGTTCAACTGTGATTCAAATTTCAAATCGCAACAAAACTACTCTCCCCATTCTTGACCACTCATGAAAACAAGTTCCAGAATTGCACCCAGTGTACGGCAGTTCACTTTTGTTCGGTGACGTTGTCCTGTCTGAGGCGGGTAAGGTACCCAAAATGTTTGCAAAAGCCGTCAGTGGGAAGCTGGCCATTTCCATAACACTGCAAACTACAGCCAAACTAAAATCACATGAGAAACCTATTTGATCCATATGTCGTATTGGTTCTTATTAGACCACAAAAGTGCACCTAATAGTGTCACGAAATGTGTTTTTGGTTTTCCAGAGGCATGATTCAGAGTGCTGGCTTTGAATTTCAATTCCGTCGGACACATCATTGGGATGTTCTTGAAAAGTTGCAATGTGCTGTGTCTGTGCAGTGGGTCAGCATCACATGGCACGGTGGCAGCAAGCCGCAGCACATTTCAGCACCACCGGGCATCCTGTTCTACACTAAAAACAATGGGATGTTGATTTTTCTCGATCTTTTTTTTGTTGAGTGGTTGCATGAAATAAAATCATCAGGATCAGACGCATTTTTCAGGTAAACTATATCAATACTGAAAAACACATCTATAGCCAGATAATTCTATTGTGTGCAACTACTCGACAAAATAAAATTGAGTAAAATCAACATCCCATTTTTTTTCAGTGTATTTGTGTCAGATTTGTGTGGCATGGTGGCAAATGTGGAACAACGTGTGATTGCTGGGCTCTTTTGATATTTTTTGCTGTCTTTGCACATGAGGCTCATCTCAGGAGGCATACAACATTGCAACTTGAGAGATGTTCCGACGACTGAGTAAAACAGCACAGTTTCATTAAAATGATTTAAAACAAGTACAACACAACAGCTACCATAAGCTTGACAACTCTCCGTACAATGAGTAAACTACAACTGTGAAGGAAGTTTGACGACCCTCCATGAACCAGTACAGTACAATGGAGTTTGATGACTTGCCATAAAATCAGCACAAGTTTGATAATTGGCCATAAAATGAGTACAACAACAAAGATTGACGACTTGCCACACAACGAGTAGAGTACAACAATGACGTTAAAAAAAAAAAGAAAGAAAGAAATACATGTTAGGTTCACTGAAGACTCAGTCTAAATTGTCCAGAGCTGAATGGTTGTTTGTGTATGCTGTATGTGCCACTGTGATTGAGTGGCGAGCAGTTCAGGCCCAAAGTCAGGGAGAGTGCAACAATGAGGTTAAAAAAAAAAAAAAAAAAAAAGAAAAAAATCCATGTTAGGTTCACTGAAGACTCTAAATTGTCCAGAGCTGAATGGTTGTTTGTGTATGCTGTATGTGCCACTGTGATTGAGTGGCGAGCAGTTCAGGCCCAAAGTCAGCAGGGATCGATCCCAGTTTTCCCATGACCCGAATGAGGACGAGAGCTACAGAAAATGGATGGTTGGATAATAAGGAGAGAACTGAAGACTCAGTCTAAATTGTCCAGAGCTGAATGGTTGTTTGTGTATGCTGTATGTGCCACTGTGAATGACTGGCAAGAAGTTCAGGCCCAAAGTCAGCAGGGATCGATCCCAGTTTTCCCATGAGCCGAATAAGGACGAGAGCTACAGAAAATGGATAGTTGGATAATAAGGAGAGAAAAAAAAAGAAAGCCGAGTGAGACTTGAGCAAGCAGATGGCACAAGTGTTGTGTGTTTATTCCTTCCCTCTGGATTCCGTCCTGTCATATACATCCAGAGCCAAAGACAACAAGGAGAGACACACAAATCCAGCTAAGTGCTGTCTGGCTTTCCTTTATTCCCAGCTTGTCCTCACGCGCTCTCTGTGGCCTTCCTTTACAGTCTGGATGCTTCTCCTTTTGATTGAGGAGGGATTTGCTCTGGCTCAGAAGACTGCAGGTAAGATTGCAATCTTCTTGCATTGTTGAAAAGAGAAGCACATTATCATTCACGTCCCATCATTTGTCTTTTTATATGTGTTGTCGCTTCCAGGGATATGCTGTAGACCTCTGGATAAAAGGCAAAATAGTGGAATTGTCAGCAAAGCGGCTCCTGTGGCTTGTAAAGAATTGCCTTTGGATCCGGGTTTTACCTCAAGGCACCAAATTTGCTAAATATCGATGCGAATAGTCATGTCAACGAGTCGATTACTTAGATTAACTCTGTGTACATTAGCTAAGGATAACAACTGAAAAAAATCTACATGTATTTGTTTTGAGAAAAATATTTTTTTTCATTGTATCAAGTTATCATAGTGAGTATTGTATATAATTGACAATGAAAATATATCTTTACTTTTGACTTTTATTCTTAGGTATATAGTTTCATCCAAAAACTATTGGAATGGCAAGGTCGATTCCTTTGTTTGTGTTGTATACTGAAGACATTTGGGTTCCAGATCATCGTTGTCACCGTATGGAAACTCCGTGGGATATATCTGTCTTGCATATCATTCCAAATCTGACCAAAAATATTCGGCCTACTCACTTTGTAATACAGAAGAGTGTAAGTGCAACGAAGCCATGTCGGCCATCTCCTGGTGAATGGTGATATTACAACTTAAAACTATGATCCACACCTGCATACTCGCAGTCCGGCACACTCGTTGCCACGAGTTGCCCGTCCCTGCATTAGAACCTCAGTTGCATATTGTGCTCTGTGTTACTGTGCAGATGATGGCGCCGCATCCAAAGGGCTCAAACCCTCTCAGAGGCCACCGCGTTCTCGCCACTGTGGGAACTGGATACGACACACAGACGGCGGCAGCTTCAGCTCCCCAAACTACCCCAACACCTACCCTCCCAACAAGGAGTGCTTGTATGTGTTAGAAGGTACATACATTACAAGAGTCAAAACAATGCACCAGAAGTGCATGTGTACATACAAATGTGGCAAAGACAGTCTGTAACAACTCAGACTAAACTTAGAGTAGGTCCACCCCAAAATATTAGTACTTCCTTGGATGAAATGGCCTACTACTATCCTATTTAGATAGGGCTTTGGCGCCATCTTGTGGCTCTGAAGGAGTGCATAAAACATGAATTGGTGATTTTTTTTCAGGAAAAGAAAATGTGAGCTAGCTTCACCCCATAAAACAAACAAACCCGCAATTAGTTGAATTGAAACATCCATCCATTTTCTCATCTGTTTATCCTCATGAGGGTGCTGGAGCGTATTCCAGCTGTCTTTGGGCAGTAGGCGGGGGACGCCCTGATCTGGTTGCGAGCCAATCACAGAGAACACATAGACAAACAACCATTCACGCTCGCACTCACATATACAATTTAGAGTGTTCCATTAACCTGTCATGGACGTTTTTGGAATGTGGGAGGAAACCTGAGTACCCGGAGAAAACCCACACAGGCACGGGGAGAATATGTTAACTCCACACAGGAAGGCCGCAGTCGGAATCGAACTCTGCACTTATGCACGGTGAGGCGAACGTGTCGATCACTGTGTGGCCTGAATTCAAACACTGGGCTATAAAATGTGACTACACGAATGTCAGGAAAAGGCCACTAGAACAGTTAAACTTTATGTGCTGTTTATCAGAAACAATGGTGGCAGTTGTGTGCTGACGTCTATTTTACATTCATTTGAACAGGGTTAATTAATTCTGAACACAGCTGCACCCCTAGTTAAAACAGGGAATGTACTACTTCGACTTAGTTGTTTACTTTCTTTCTCTTAACTTTTATCTTCTGCTCTGTCAGTGAAGTTGGTTCAAAGCAGTGCGGTCCCAACCCAGTCTTCAAGGGCTGCTGTCCTGCTTGTTGTCACTCCAACACACCTCATTCTAATGATCAGCATTGTGATTCGGCTTCTTCAGAGCTTGCTGATGAGCATACCTGGTTTGAAGGGAAAAAACTTTGGTGCCATAATGACCTGTGTAACTCACTCTCCCCACCAGCGTTCCCTCGGCAGAGGATCGAGCTGCAGTTCAACAAGTCCTTCTACATCGAGGCGTCCTTTGAGTGTCGTTTCGACCACATCGAGGTGCGCGATGGCCCCTTCAGTTTCTCACCGCTAATCGACCGCTTCTGCGGCGCCACCTGCCCTGGGCTGGTCCTCTCCAGTGGACGCTTCATGTGGATCCGCTTTTATAGCGATGAAGAACTGGAGGGGATCGGTTTCCACGTCCGCTACAGCTTCACAGCAGGTGATCACTTGATTTAATCATTTTGGCACTTCATGTATTAGTCTTATATTAAAAAAAAAATGTTTTCTCTCTGATTTTTCTCTTTCCGCATTTCTAAACAAATTCACATCCTTTAACGTGAAAAGAAAAAAATCTGCTCTGCTTTTCAACAATTCAGTTCATTCAACAGCATTTCATTTCAGCATCAATTCACATGCAATTTCTCCATAAAATTTATCATCTAGTTCAGGGATGTCAAACTAATTTTTGTCGCGGGCCACTTTGGAGTTATGTCTTCCCTTGAAGGGCCGTTATGACAGTGACACCAAATAAGATAAGATAAGATAAGATAAGAAAACCTTTATTAGTCTCGCAATGGAGAAATTCCCAATTCACAGCAGCAAAGTTATGAAAGGAAAAATAAATGTTTCATCATCTCATCATGTTATTATTTGTACACAACAAATTGATGCATTATTACTTTTGAGAGCAGTCAACGGTAATAGTTTGTTCAATTATCGTTCAAGTGAGTGCAAACGGGGTAGCAAAATTATTGCAAAATTATTTGCAATAATTTTTATTAATAAATAATCTTGATTATTTATTTATGTGTGAGAATTTGACATTTTGGTACAGATTTTAGCAAGGATCATGGAAGTTGACACACATAGGTTGCTTTGGCGGGCCACATAAAATGACGTGGTTGGCCGGATCTGGCCCCCGGGCCTTGAGTTTGACACCAATAATCTCGTTGGTTATTTTGACTTCTTGCTCTCCTTGCATTTTCTCTTCTAACCCCAGTTACGTGTCTGCAAGTGTTCCCTCACCACTTCCATGAATCTAATCTTTGGTTTTCCTCTTTGCCTCCCACATGTCAACTCTGATTCTAGCATCCTTCTACCAAGAATACCAATGTCCCTCCTGTGTACATGTCCAAACCATCTCAATGTGGCTGCTTTAGTTCAGGCTTCAAAACTTCCTGTTCATGCTGTCCCACCGATGAGCTCATTCCTGAGCCTGTGCATCCTCGTTATTGCAGTTCCTATTAAATATACTTTGCACCAATCTCCTGCATTTACATGGCATGTCGACCGCCGGCGCCTCGCTCTGCGCTGATTTTAAAGAGAATGAGGAGAGCCGCTTTTGTTGGATGGACTGGCAAACAATTTGGCTACGTTTTCTCCCACAACGGCGCAAAACGTTACGTTCTCCCGGCGTCCGTCTTGGAAAACACCAAAAGAAAGAAAACCCCAATCACACAATGCAGTTAGACTTTGTGCTCAACTTGAGCTGGGCTGGACCAAAATATCATATTTCAGGTTTTAAATCATTTTAACTGTCACTAAAAAGGGATTACTATGGAAATCATGTCTTATGAAAACTCTTTGGAAATTAAGACTATACTTAGACTTCACTGAATCGCGTCTCTTTGCCGGTTGCGCACCAATTTTCCCAGGTTACACGTGGTGGGTGTGTCAGGAGTCAGGACGGGAGAATCATGGCGCTCCGAAAGTGCTCAAAAAAGGAGTATAAGAAACGAACTTAAGCGGAAACGGGAAAATATGTCTCCTAGTTAAGACTGTCAATCTGTTGTACACAAAAGTATTTGACGTACGTGTTGTTTGTGAATTAAATATTGCTTTAAGACTGTCATGATTGTTCTGTTTGTGACCAACAGGTGGCATTAGAGGGCTTCTCCCACAGCGTCGGACCTGTTCTGACCACCAACCAAGACCTTTTCCAACGCGTTCATAGCCTCTCACAACTAGTTTTTCACGTTTAAAATAATAGCACCCTTTTAAATATAAATTAACATCAGGAAACTTAAGCCGTTATATCGAGTTACAGCCAGCATCTTCAACTCTGCCACCTCCAGCACTGTCTCCTGTGTTCTGGTCATTGTTACCATCTTGGAAGCTTACAAAATGTCTGGTCTCCTTCCCGTGCCCTAAAATTCTCTACACTTTCCTCGTCCCTTTCAGTAAATATCTGTACAGTCTTCAGCTCTCCTCGTTGCTTCGAACAGTTGATCCCAAGTTGTTGAACTGCACTTTCTCAACCTCTTCTTGAAACCTGACCATTCTCTGAGCCTCCATTGTACTTTGTCTCACTTCTTCAGGGCATATTTCCACCTCTCTAGGTTCTCTACATTTTGCTGCCTACTCTTCCCACAAATAACGCTGCTAATTTGAGAGTTTCAAATGATTGCTAGAAACTCAAATGTACTCTCTTTTGTTCCATCCAAAGACCCGGAGTTCTATCTACATGTGGGGGGGCTCCTCAACCCCATCCCAGGTAGTTTATAAATGACTAATCCTTCAATGAAAACAATGCTGAGACTCAGTGGTCTACCTCCTTTCCTGCTCTTCCTCAAGATTGTCAGTTTGAGTTGTCCGGGGCTGACGGCCTGATCCGATCCAGTCAAGTGGAGGAGGAGTACAAGGTCAAGCCCGACCAGGCAGTGGACTGCATTTGGACCATACGCGCTCCGACTCACAACAAGGTGCAACCCATATCTGGCTATGATTCACTATTCACAAAATAAAGGGGGTGTTTGCAGTTCAGAACGTAACACTTTTGCATGATGCTAAAACTGACAATATGGCTTGACTGTCGTACATGTGCTGTGGAAAAAAAAAAACCTCTCTGGCCACATCTTGGGCCTGTAATTTCATTTTCAATTTGTGCCCAAGCAAATACAACAGGTCAGAGAAAGAAGGCGTGATTGAGTTCTTTCTTGTGCACTTGTGGGCGCACTGAGAGCAGGCAATTAGAAATCCATTAAGATTTTGGTCCAAATCATTTTGTTTTTTTTCACGGTTGTTAAAGTGGACGATGATGAATTAAAAACCTGAGTTCCTGTATGTTGTCATTATGTGTTGTAGATTTACCTGAGATTTTTGGAGTACCAAATGGAGAACTCAAACGAGTGCAAGAAGAACTTTGTGGCTGTTTATGATGGAAGCAACGCCATCGAAGACCTCAAGGTTATTCACAGACTTTGTTGGAACTATAGTATCCAGACAAATATCAGATCAAATTTGGCAAACATCCAGATTGTACCACAAGTAAACAAAACCTGACATCTTACACGACTAAGGCAGAGTGATTGAAAAAATTGAAATGGCCTGAAAGATGATTTTTAACCTTTCACTTGAAGGTGTGCAGTGTCACTCAAAGAAGATTGTGTACCTGTCGTGCATCAAGTGGAACCCGAATGGGCTGCTGTGCAGAGTAGGGTGTTCTGAATCTAGTTGTTTCCAAAGAGATCACCAGGTGTCAAAGCTTTTCTGTTCCAGTCATCTCGTGTACAGTATGTGTGCGAAGGTTTTGTCTTGTCCAGGGAATCCAAGCCAACAAGTATTTTCAAAAAAATGATGATTTAGATGTCAAATTCCCATGACAGTTTATCACCCGGTGTGCAGGTGAAAGTTGATGACTGTAATTTTTTTCCCAATGTCCCGCGTGCATGGCCCAAAACATGTGGAAGGCACATTTCTTGGAATGTGAGACAGCATGTTTGCCGTCATTAACATACCAACAGGTAATTAGATTTAAATACAGACGCAGTAGAAACTCCACGGGTAGCCAAAAAATGCGTGCGGTAAAGATGATGTTAGCAAACAGAGCAGTAATTATGCTTTGCTCAAATGACAACACAACAGACAAAGCAAGCTAACATTTTATGCATTGCTGTGAGAAAATATTTTCCACAAACCCAATGAGGGAGGTTTGGCTTTCTTTGGGATCTTCTCTGTTCAACAATTTACAACATTCACTCGATTTATCCACCATATCCATGGAGACAAAATACAGCTTAAAGTACAGGAAGTCAATTGTGTTCTGCTACAAAGAACGAATCTGGCAACTATTGTTTCAAACATTCTGAAAAGAGCGATAAAAGATGACGGGGGCCTCTTTGGAAGAAAAAGTTCTGTTGTTATGTTGTTTGCAGGCCAAATTTTGCAGCACCGTGGCCAACGACATCATGCTGGACACCGGCGTGGGCGTGGTGAGGATGTGGGCTGATGAGAGCAGCCGACTCAGTCGCTTTCGGATGTTGTTCACCTCTTTCGCTGATCGTGAGCTGACAACTTTCATTCATGACATGCAAGCTTCACGACATGATTTGAAAAAAATGTGAGAAAGGCAGGGTTCAACTCATCATGTCCTCAACCCATAGTTATGGCAGTTATCACAGCATACTGTCCGCGAACCTGTTTTCTGAGTTGGGTCACATGATTTTCGCAAAACAAGCGTGAGAGCAGTAGGAGGGTGATATTTCCCGACACGTTGCTCCCCTGAGATAGAGGAAGAATGACAACTTATTCTGGTAATTCTAATTCCACAACCAGCACTTTAATCACAACACTAGATCTGGCACATACAACATGTTATTCCGGATGGCTAAGGGAGAGCCCGGACACCCTGCGGAGAAAACTCATTTCGGCCGCTTGTATCCGGGATTTCAGTCACGACCCATAGCTCGTGACCATTGGTGAGGGTTTGAACATAGATCGGACCGGTAAATTGAGAGTTTCGTTTTTTGTTAGTTCTCCTTTAACAATGCACTCTGTGTGTGTTGGCAGCTCCGTGTGTAGGTAGCACCTTCTTCTGTCACAGTAACATGTGCATCAACACTTCTCTGGTGTGCAACGGAATACAAAACTGTGTCTTCCCCTGGGACGAAAGCAACTGCAAAGGTTATATTTTGGATTTTTTTTTTGGATAAATTATCCATGCATCCATCTATTTTCTCTTTTTTTTTTTTTTGATAAATTATCCATCCATCCATCTATTTTCTAATCCGCTTCATCTTTACAAGGGTCGCGGGGCATGCTGGAGCCTACTATCCCAGCCGTGTTCGGTCAGTTGGCAGGGGACGCTATGAACTGGTCGCCAGTCATTCGCAGAGCACACATAAATGAACCATCCATGCTCACACTCACACCTAGGGAAAACTTAAAGTCTTCTATTAACCTGCCATACATGCTTTTGGAAGGTGGGAGGAAACCAGAGGACCCAGAGAAAACCCACGCATGGCACCAGAAGAATATGCAAACTCCAACCAGGAATGCCGGAGCCGGAATCGAACCCTGCAATTCTGTTGCAATTCAACACTGTGAGGTCGACGAGCTAACCACTGTTCCGCCTTGATAAAATATCCTTTCAGTAATTCTAGCATCTGTTACACTCTGAGGTGACACGGTGGTCGATTGGTTCACAGTTCAGAGGTCGTGGGTTCGATCCTGACCCCAGCCTTCCTGTGTGGAGTTTGCATGTTCTCCCCATGCCTACGTGGGTTTTCTCATGGTACTCCGGTTTCCTCCCACATTCCAAAAAATTGCAAGGCAGGTTAATTGAACACCCTCTCTGTGTGATTGTGAGTGAGAATGTTTTCTCATCGATGTATGCCTTGCAATTGGTTGGAAACCGGTTCAGGGTGTCCCCCGCCTGGTGCCAGAAGACAGCTGGGATAGGCTCCAGAACCCCCACGTGACCCTTGTGAGTCTAAGCGGAGCAGATAATGGATGGATGCATATTATTAAGCCAGTCGTGTTCATGCATACAGGAAGTCAATTGACCGTCATGAAGTCATATTTGGTCATCGTCTTTTTCTGTTGTATTCTATTTTTTTTTAAATTAATGATTGTTGCTTTGTATTTTTGAATACTTTTACTAATTAGAGCTTTTTTGAAATTTTGTTTTTTTTTTCATTTTTGTGAAATTTGTATTTTGTTCTTTTCTTAACCAGTGAGTGTTTCTCCCCTTTTGATTATTTTGGCTACAGTAATTTCTCACCCAGTCTCTTGCTCATTGATGAGTCATGAACACTGACCTTCACTAAGACAAGGAAGTTCGTTACATGTTCTTCCGGATTCCTTTGTGACCTCCTGGATGAGCCATCGCTGTAGTCTTAGGATCATTAACCACAGTTTCATTTTGTGGATAATCGCTTTTAAATTTGTGAAGAGGGCAGATATTTTTTTCCCACAACTGTGCTTTCGATCCAGTGTATGTTATGCCATTGTGCTGATATACTTAATGAAAGGTCCGTTGAGCGTGAAGGAGCACCCCGTGTTTTTTGTCGCACAGAGAAGAAACAGAAAGGAATCTTCCAGCACATGACGAGGACTCACGGCACGGTGATCTGCGTGTCCACGGGCGTTGTCATGCTGCTCCTTGTCATCTCCATCTTGGTGCAGATCAAGCAGCCGCGCAAGAAGGTGATCACATGAGCTCATCTTTAAATCAAGACTGTCTTATCTTTCGAAAGGTTCTCCTCATGTTCAAATACCGATTGTGTGTTTCACATTTTAGGTGTTGGTACGCAAGAATAACTTGTTCCAGCGAGGGGACTACCACTCGTCGTTTGAGCCTCCGCACTATGAACTCTTGACCCTCAGAGAAAAGGTTACTGTTCTAAACTTTTTGAGTTGTTCAATGTGCATCATGAGATTTAGAGCTTCAAAAAAAAAAAAGAACATTTAATTTAGTTTATTTTGAGAATTTGGCTATGCTTTGGTGGATTGGTGCATATCAATATAAATATATCGTAAATCATAACAAATACACAAATCTACGTGTCGTATGTACATGCCTGTATTTACATTTCTATATTAATATGAGACCATTTGTATGAATGCTCTTTTTTTTTTTGGTTTTTGTATTGCCGATGTATCGGATTGGGATTCAATATCAGCATATCAAATCAAAGACTTGGACATCAAAAAGTGTATTCAAAGCATCCTCACAAGACACCGTCGTACATTATTTTTACATTAAAAAGTTTAATTAAACAATGTTAACTTCTGAGTGGTGTTTTTTTTTTTTTTTTTTAACAGAAGCTGTCAGGGGACCAGGGAGATCTTTCAGAAGAGCATCAGTCAATAAAAGCCTTGAGAAGGTCATCTTCTTCAGGGTCACGCTGCGTTCATGAGCACCACTGTGGCTCTCAGGCCTCGCTCAACTCCATCAAAGGCGCTCACCGGGCGGCCCGCGGCTCTTTGGAGATCAGCTCGATTCGAGGCGACGTCCAGAGGGCACCTCTTCTTTTGCGTGACTCGACCAGCAGCCTGCGCAAGAAAAGCTGGCCTAGCGTCAAAGCCGCCACCGGTTTCCACACACAGTACAGCCTGGCAGAACGACACCACCGAGTGTTGGAGGACCACGAAGACGACCTCGGAGCAGGGGACGGCGCGGGCTATGATTTGTACCTACATAGGGCTGCCAATAGGAGAGGTCGCTACGAGATGGCCCAGCAGAGGTCTTTATCCATGGATTTTTAATCCAACTAAACCCACTAGAACTAAAATGCAACAATTTGTCAGCCTGCAGGGTTTTGTTTTTTTGTTTTTTGGCTAAGTATGCATACTAAGTGTGTTACTTAGTATGCATACATTTCATTAGCCAGGTTTACATGCGGATTTTTTTTATCATTCTGATTGAAGATCTCTGGTCAACTGTTTAGATGTGACATATATGTTTACATGTGCCATTATACGAAATAAGAACAGCTATTTTACAGCCGCATGGTAGCCACAGATCGGTGTAAAGATCATATCATGTATGCACATTAAAAAACAAAGTCGTCGATTTCAGTACAGCAGTCAAGATGGTTTCATGCACTTTTATTAAAAGAAGAGCTTGATGAAAAGAAGCTGCAGGTAGTTGAATCAAGCTGTGCCATCAAAGACTCAATCTTGTTGGAAGCCATTTTCAAGACATCGCCACGCATTTACGTCAAGATTTAGCTTCAGTGGCCGGACTAGGCCCAGAGGTTTCAGAGGACAGGCACAGTTTTATGAAACACGTGAGTATGCATACACACATGTACACACACACACACACACACACACACACACACTGTTTATGATGATTGAAATAAAATTCACCTCGAAATAACCCTGTTTGGTCATTTGACCAGCATTTCAAGATTAACATGTCATCATGTGTTGCCATCACTGGCTTCATAACGAGTCCAGGTTCTTTTTGGGCCCTTTTGGAGGCACACTAGGATTTATGGCTTCATCTGATTTTTTTTTCTTATGTGTGTACCTAATCTTAGTTACGCTTACACAGGGTCTTATAGTGCCATGTACTATAAGACTGTACGTGAGTGGATCTAATGATTTGGAGATTTGTAATGACATGCAGGACAAACATAGTACCTGAATAATTTAAATAATTTTGAGTCAGTTGATTTCTGTCATTAAAATGCACAAGATAAGCTCTTGTACTTAAAGTTGGTTTGCTGTTCAGCCAATTTGTGCCGCCCTTGACTGGTAATATTTATGCACGAGAGCCTTTTGCATTGGGAAAAAAAATCTAGAGTATATGGTTACTATAATTATCTTTTTGATAGATGGGGAATCTTTTATAGATTGAGCATGAAAGATGATTCTGTGATGCACATTAGTTTAATAAAAAGACATATGCACATATTTTGTCCATGCATAAAATTGCATTTTTGTTCTACATCTGGTTTGGAAGTATGTTGTCCTCTGTGGCCCTGAGTAGCACCGATGAAATATTGTGACCGCTTCTATCATTTAATTTGTCCGTTCTTGATTTAAGGTTTGGCTTGGAAGAACTCACGTCATGCCATGTCACTTATGACATAACTGCTCTCAATTCAGCATTACACCTCACGATAATAATTGGTGCTAGCCTCACCCAGACCAGTTTTTCAGGGACTTCAGGGACTTCTTCAGGGAAGTTTTAAATGCAATGTTATGCAGGATGGGTGCATCAATCGAAGTCTCACTCGAGGTGTATTTAATCAAACAAAATGTGCCTTTCATACAGTTGCTAACTTCAGAAAAATTATTGGATTGATTGATTTATTTTCTGGAAGTATTAATATGTTTGGATTCATACAATACAATACATTTTTTTTAAATTTATATCGCGCTTTCACAACAGCTGCAGCTGAAACAAAGCGCTTCACAAGAAAAGTTAAAGTAAAATCACAAAATACGGTAATATAACACAACACAACATAAGACACGGACAGTCATGCATTTGTAAACACTTTTCCCTCATACGCTTTATTGCTTGAAGCAGTTATACAGTGAAACTCCTCTACAACGAAATCGTGTTTGCGGCAAGAAATTTTTCACAACAGGGGGTTTTTCACTGTAGCAAATTTGGTCTCAGATGTAAGCACACACACACCCACTCACACAAACATATGTGTACACGCACACAAACGTATGTGTACTCTATTTATATTCCAATAGTGCATAAGTATGAGCATACACTTATTTGACACTTCATATTGTCAGTGTAGAAAGAAAAAAAGGTAAAGAAATTGCGAAATTTACAATCAGCATTCACTTTCACTTACATCAATTTCTTGGATCATGTCATTTTATTTTGCTTGCTCCGTCTTTCATTTTGATCACTTTTAACCTCTCTTCCAGCATCAGAGCTCTTCTTGTCTTAGCTGCTTGACATCCAAAGGTCCGTTTTGTAGCTGTTTTAGCAATGCAACGTCCATGCTCGTCTGAATCTAACAATAACAAATACTTCTGGACCCGGTGGCTTTTCTTTCCACCATCTCACTGTCTCTACCTAACCCTAACCCAAGACAGCGTTGCTCAGCTGATGTTCATGCAATGAACTTTTAAACCAGCCACACCTCGTAGTTCTAAATGGCCACAGTTAGCTTTCGAAGGCTAAAAACGTTACGCTAACTGGAGCGCTAATTAGCGTAATGTTTTTAGCCTTCGAGAGCTAACTAGGCCGTCTAGGACTACGAAGCGTCCCGTGGCTGTTTTTAGCATGATAACAAGTAAAGCATTCGAGGAAACGATCGTTTATTTGAATGTCCGTCGAGCCGCGGGACGCTTCATAGTCTTCGACGGCCTAGTTAGCTCTCGAAGGCTAAAAACATTACGCTAACTGGAGCGCTAATGAGAGAGAAGCGCTCCAGTTAGGTCCCTCTTGGCAATGGCAGAGCAGCTATGAGTTTGTTGAGTCCAGGAAACTCGCAGCTGTGACCGAAATAAACATTGTTCACTATGTAAACCAGTGTGGTGTTTGCTGTTGCCGTTTCCGAACGAACCGGTAGAGGTCGCTGTTGGATAAAACTTCGTTGTAGTGAATGTCTTTGCGAGGCTGGAGCAGAGAAAATGATTTCGTATAACGCAACAGGGGGTTTTTCGTCGTATGGGGGGCAGGAGAATGGGAATTGTGTTAATGCATGAAGATTTTTTCACATAAGGGGGTATTTTCGCCCATGTAGGTTTCGTTCTAGAGGAGTTTCACTGTGGATGAAAGAGGGGAGAATCAAAGTGTGTTTTTAGCAGTGGATTAGAGACGTCATGCTCAAAGCGTGCATGACGTCTCACACGTCTGCTACAAGCTAATCTAAGATACGTTAGCGTCCAATGACAAAAAAAGAGATTTGTTAATTTGTCTTGTCCCATGTAAATCCGCTTCACTTCCAAGCACTAACTTTCAGTTCCAAATACGCATCCACACTCCCTGCCGACGTTCCTCTTTCCTCATCCTCAGCTCCAACAGCTATCCATCCAGCCACACCAAGGCAGACTGTCCAACAGCGCCGACATCTGCGCTGAACAAAACGAAGCTGTGAAAAGTGCTGCCCATTACAGGCGCAAAAAGCACGAGCGTCCCAGTGCGCGACATTCCCCCCATCAAAATCAGTGCTCGTACATGCATGCTGCCGAGAAGGCGCAACCATCAAGCACTACTTCTCCTTCGACGAATGTTGTGGCCAAAACGGAAAAAAAAAATAAATGTCCACAATGGGGTCCACATATGACAGAGCCAAAGACCAAAACAACAAAAAACAAAAGCTCTTGAAGAGCTCTTGCAGATGGCTGCCAACTACGGCGCCATCTATGTGGAAGTATTTTTTTCATCACTTCAACAATTCTGTTTGAGTATTTTTTCGTGCAATTTAGCAGAAACTAAGTCAACAGTTCCTCAGTAGGATTATCATCAAGGGAAAATAATAATAAAAAAAACAACCCAGTATATGATGCATTTCCCGTAAAATTGTTACAGTGAAACTCCTCGCCAACGAAACCTACATGGCCGAAAATACCCGCTAGTGTGAAAAATGTTTCATGAATGAAAGCCATTCCCACTTTTCTGCTCCCCCTATGATGAAAAATCCCCCTGTTCTGTTATCCGAAATCTTTTTCTCTGCTCTTGCCTCGCAATGGGATTCACTACAACAAAAACAAGCCTTCAGCAAAAATCTCATCCAACCTCAGCATGCCACAGAGACCTCTGCTCCTTCGTTCGGAAATGGCAACAGCAACCACCACACTGGTTTACAAATGCGCAGTAGTCCAGGAAGTATTTGTCATTGTTAGTTTCAGATGCAGCACGAATGTTTCATTGCTAAAATGGCTACGAAACGAACCTTTGCAGACCAAGGAGTTGGCCAACGTTACCCAGGCCGTGCTCGGGGAAAGCACACCCCTGATTGCATATAGACACATGGCCTGAAGAATGATGTCAGGCAAGAAATCAAACTCTTATTTATACTCACGCATGCAAAAATGAACTAATAAAAAAATATACACTGGTTCCTACCTCACTTACAGGCCCACCAACTTACCAGTTTTTCCAGTTGGAGCTGTAAGAGAACCAGCTTCCAAAAGCTGTTCTTTTTTAGAATCACTTTCCAGTAAATTCAGAATGATGAAAGTTGGGGGTGGGACCCCATCTGATGTGATGTATAAATATGACAGTTTCACAACAAACCAAAAGACTGCCAGCACAACATATTGAAGACAAGAGTCCTCATCTTTGGCAAGGTACTGTAAATTTTCCATTTCTTCTGACTTTTTCAGCTTGTGTTGCATTTTTTTTATAAGGTGAAATATACCGTAAATGTAATACTAATTAATATTTATTGTCAGAAATATGAAGCATTTTTCTTTTGTTGCACAGATGGCATTTGCTCTTCGCTTGTTGTTCCTCGTCTGTGGGATCAGTGGACTGTTGACTGGAGTTGTAAGTCAAAATCTCACCCACTGACTGAAATTAACATTACATTAATTACTCGGGTGTTTGATGTTTTGTAGGGTTGCAACTAACAATTTTAATAATCGATGAATCTATCGATTATGTTGTCCATTAAATGTGAAATTGGATTTTTTTTTGTAACATGCTTTAAGTCAGCGTCCCCAACCGCCGGTCCGCGGACCAGTACCGGTCCGCAGGGCATTTGGTACCGGGCCGCACAGAAAGAACTTGCCTTAATTCCGGTTTATTTATTTCGGAATACGAAAGATGTTTTATTTTGAAAATTACCGGATCCTCCGTTAAATCCGTTCGTATCTCGCTTGACACACGTCAAGCCACGCTTCTCCGTCACGTGACCAAATAGGCTAAAAACAAACGCCGGAGCTGGCAAAACGAGTTTAAAAACAGGACATGATGTCAAATTGACAGAGCCTAAAATAATCAAACACAATTATGATTCCATTGCTGGTTCGGACCGTAACGTCAGATAGTTGGAAAAAAATCGCTCATCCATCCATTGATCAAGGCATCCATTTTCTTTACCCTTTATTCTCAGTCAGGGGTGCCAGAGCCCATCACAGCTTTCTTTGGAGCTTTCTTTCATCCTTAACTGGTTGCCCGCTAATCGCAGGGTAAAACCGTTCACACTCACAATCACATGTAGGGACAATCGAGAGTGTTCAATTCCCCAACCATGGAAAAAATGTTGATCGTTGTTTTCCAAAGTAAAAACAGTTTGAAAATGTCTCATTTTTAAAACAAAAATACAAAGATAATCAGGGTGCTTTTAGGGCGAAATCTGAGAAAATAAACTGAGACGCTGGACCTCCGAGGATTTGG